AAACATTCAGCTTTGATATTAATGAGTTTTTTGGGTTCAATGAGAACATGGTTGTTGTTCAATAATAAAATTATTCCTCAAAAATACAACTTGCCTAATAATTCTGCACTCCCTGTATAAAAGAAGTTCCATAGTAAGTGGGACTCTACATCCATGCTTGCCACCAGGCAGTTGAAACTTTCATTCAACTTTCATTGGATCAGGTGACTGAAGCATCCCTTAGTTATGCTGCTATTGCCACGGGCTTCAGGGGGACCTTCTATGATGCAGTGAACATTTTGTTTTTGTGTTCTGTTGTGCTTACATTTCACTTTTGCATGTCATTAACTTTTGTCTTCTCTCCCATAGCATGTGTTCTGTCCTCATCTTTCAATGCTCTCCTCTTCCTCACACGCCGGTCGGTCGGTCACAGCAGATGTCTGTCGCTAAGCCTGGTTGTTCTTGTTAAAAAGGAATCTTCCTTCTCACCATCTCTTCATCATCCTCCAGATGGCTGTTGTGTCAATGCACTATATAAATAACTTTAGCTGTGTGATTTGAACAGATCTGAAAAAAATTTTAAATGATTTGCAATTTGCTAGTTTTATTTGCTTTTGACATCCGAGCATCCCAGTGTTTTTGGAAACAGGATTCTATTTCTGCAAGAGATTTTGTTTGTTTTTTCTCTGTACCTGCTGAGAGCTTTATGCTTTGTGTCTTTTACAGTACGACCAACTCTACCCGTGTTGGCTGTTGAAGATCAACTACCAGAGCACCCCTCACCCCCCTCAAACACAGACTCTCTGCATCACGCAAACTCTCCAGGAAACAAATGCTCTCCGACACATGTCATCGACACAAATGTTCTGACACACGCACATTCTCCAACACACACTGACTCTCACAAATATACCTCTTCCCCTCCTCACACACACTCACCCCCCGTCAGTCAATTGATGCAACCTGACTGGGTGCTGCGGGACTCTCCATACTCAGAAGGTGTGGCTGAGCACAAAAGGGGCAAGGCTTGTTGGGACTGTTTACGTTTCCATAGAGACAACAACAGTGAGCTGCAGGTGAGTTTGACCTGCTGCATGCT